CAGGAAAGACAACCACAGGAGGAAGGCTAAGCATGACTTTGGGTGGCTGGATGATGTGGACAGGCCATAGCAATGGGTTAGACAGGGCATATTTCCAGCAGGGCAGTTTGCCTTCAGCTCTTGGCATCTTCTGTATGAGATGAAGGATCTGGAGACACAAGCAGCAGCTCTGTGCCAGGGACCTATCTGATACCCAGAAGATAAGTAGAAGGTTGAAGCTCGTGGTGTGTGTCCACATTTGTGCTTATTTCCTCCCAATACTAACAAATCCATAGCTGACTTCTTTGTTGTTGATGTTAATATATATCTGCAAACATTTTAAAGCAGTAACGAGTATAGATGGAAAATGCATAGAATTCTTTTATAATATTCTATACTTTTCCACTTCAAGTTAGCAAACAATATCTCTGCTAGATTAGACCAAAAGAGGAAACTTTTTTACACAGAAAGCCTGAGATTAGTCCATATGATGCTTCCTAAAGCACATTTGAACCTGCTCCTGTACAGCAGCCCAAAGGTTATTGGCAACGCACCAAAGAAACCCATGACTGGTGGATTTAGATACTTGCTGCAAATCTCCATTAATCTCTGTTTACAATCTATCCTCTATTACTGCCTACAGAGAGTAAATCCTAAGTTAAAGGTGCTTTTTGTAGCAGTATTTGCTGAAAAGTCAGTTTTAAAACATATACTAGGAACTAGAGACCTGAAAAAAAATCACTTGGAACTTTATTTCCTCCTTCCTTAGGGTCTGAATAAAACAGTCAAGAACTGTGTAGGTTAAGAGGGGTTTTGATAAATTTTCTAAACTAAATTGATTTTTTAAAATGTGCAGTGTTTTGTAATTCTGCTTCAAGGAACTGCACTTTCAGGATGTCACAGACACTGTATGATCAATATTCCCTTCAGTTTGTTTCATTAATGTGCTCATTTTCTAGTTTTTCAGATCTGCTTGAAGAAACTGTGTTTGCATGTCACGAATACTCAGTTGCATTTTGCCAGCTTTGCTTTTCTACAGGGCAGGTAAGTGCTTCAGATGTTTAGTATTATCTCTTCATAAAAAGATGTTACAAAGCCTTGCTACGAGTGGCTTGTTGCTACAGGCCAGAGCGTGGAAACCTGTGGCTGCTTTTTGTAGCAGTTGTTAACAAAACCCGAATTGTCCAGATATAACCACAATCATAAAGAAACTGACTGGTGATGAGCTGTTATGCAGTATGCCTGCAGAGATAAAAATATGCATTTAAAAAAAACCATTTTAGGTAAATGAGGGGTGTACTTTTGGCATCTCTGGATGAGACACACGACCCAGTGATGGAGCCCTCAGTGCCTGGCGGTGACAGGAGGAGGCAGGCGGTGAGGATACAGCCAGCAGGGAAAGCCTTGCTGTTCAGCGGGTCCTTTCTGGCCAAGAGGAAGCTAGAAATGGGTCCAAGCTTCTTGCACTCCGTCTTCTTCGGAAGTGTAGGCTTTCAGCTGGGGCCTGGGCTGGCTGCGGCTTCCCTGGAGGAGGCAGGAACCCCGGGGTGCTGCTCCTACCTACGCGTTGGGCCCCCGGACAGAAGGAAGCAGCGCCGAGCGGCCCTTCCCTGAGGCCCCAGAGCCCTGAGGGGAGGCAGGAGGGGGTTCCTGGAGCGCTTCCCGAGGCTTGGCACAGCCCTGGGCCTGCGGTTACGGCGCCTCCGCTTCAAAAAGAAATTAAAACCCCTCAAAATTCCCGGGGCAGGAGGAGCAAACACCCCCTGCAGCTGCTGCTGCTGCGGGTAGA